TCAAACCTCATCTTCTCTCGCAGTCCAGTTGCCTTTGAGCTGTACTGATCCCAGGTGGTCCATCTTCCAGAACTTTCTTTTTACACAACTATTTATAGGCCATAGATCACAGGTTTGTGATGAGCTTTATGCCAGGCACTAAAACACCAAGAGCCAAGATGGCATTTCCCAGGGGATGGCAGAGATCTGCAAACAGGTGTAGCAGCCAACTGTACTTAGGGGAAAACTCTAGTCTCTCCCTTTAATTTATGTGCTCAGGGTAGTCACCCCTCTCTCTCTACCCATGCTTCCCTTATCATTCTAAAACTTAGGATAAGATCTTTGGAGGCAGAATATAGGTTTCCAGGTGACTAAAGGGGATTTGTTAGCTTTGTTTTTAGTCTGGGAAGTCCAACAATGTCTGTCTCACACTTGGAAAGGCAGAGAATCCTTTAGTTGCAACTTTGGGCCTCCAACCAGCTCCCAAATAAGGGTATAGAGATTTGTTATTAATTATGAATGTTTGACCTTATCTTAGGCTTGTCCCACTAGCTCTTTTATCAAACGTGACCTATTTCTGTTCATCTGCATTTTGCCTCAGGGTTTTTTACCTTTCTTTCATCCTGTATGTCCTACTTTCCTGCTTCCTCTGTGTCTGGCTGGTTGGTCCCTCGTGTCTCCCTGTCATCCCATTTCTTTCTTCCTTGAACCCAAATTCCTCCTCCTACTTAATCTCCCTGCCTGGAAGTTCCGCCTATAAGTCCTCCCTTGCTATTGGCCACTCAGCTTTTTATTAGACCAGGCAGGTGCCTTAAGCAGGCAAGGTAAAACAGCAACACATCTTTACATAAATAAACAAATGCAGCACATCTTTGCATAGTTAAACAAATATTTTGCAATAGTTTCTCAGTTCACAGCCTGGGTGCTTCAGCAGTTCCAATCTGGTGTTGAAGGCCTAAGGAAATCCTAGAGAGCAACAGGTCTCCAGTCTGTGTTGGAAGTCCCAAAACTGATCCTAATGTTGTCGGGTAACCATCAGAGAATATTGTCCAGACATGATTTTAAGTCACTTTCTTTTTCAGCCAGCTGCGACTACAGTGGGTGTTCGGGACCGCGGGGTAGCACTGAGCCTTTCTCAGGGTGAGCTTTTAAGCACAAAACCATATCTCAGGTTGACATACTTCAGTTCACAAGAACAGTCAGCCAGAAATACAGCTACAGAAGCCAAAACGCAAGGGTAGTGCATTTTGAGACTTTCCCAGAACTATGGACTTTGATGAATTAGGTCTTAGTTTCCATTTCAGCAGGTGGTGCTGTCTGCATGCTGTTTTGTGGCCTCAATGGTACTTCTTTCAGAGAGTCAGTTGTTCTGAAGTCTGGGGGGCCTGTTACCTACTATCAGTGAAGGAGGGGAAATTGCTTTTGAGTTGACAGCCAGTGTTAACCATCATGTCAGGATTCAGGCTGAGGTGAGGTCTAAAACAAACAAGTGCCACGCACCGCACCCCCGAGTCTGCGCTCTGTGCGCTGGCACCCAGGTACCGAGCTTAGGGCAAGGGGCAGGAGGTTAAAATACACAGACACACACAAGCAGAGAGACAGCGACAGGGATCATCCTTGAATTCCCCAAGAATGCCCCCTTTTATTGTGTTCAGGGGCAGATTAGAGATAGCCACGCCCCAGCCAAACCCACCAGAAACCACTCTCCTGCCAGCAGGAACTCCTGAAGGTCTCGTGCTCAGAGCAGCTGTAAGCACTCAGATCAGGGGATTACAAGAAATTCAGGATCTGGGGTCTCACTGCTCCCAACAAACAAGCTGTTCCATGTGCTCAGAATTCCACTCATTTAGGACGAGCAAATTCTCAATTCTTCTGCAAGGCAGTGTGGGTGTACTTAGCACTATTCAGATGCACACCCAAAAAAGCTTAGGATGGTAAATTGTCCACGGTGCACACTTTGTGGCAAAAGCACAAACGCAATCCTCTGGAGAGTCCATGTCATACAACCCAACCTCAAGTCAGGAAATTGAAAATGTCAGCCTTGGTGATAACCAAATCTTTGCCCTTTAGCCAGCGGCCAGACTTGCCCCTGAGATACAGGGCTTCTGTTTCTGTTCCCTAGTTCTCCTACAGCTAGCTAAGGTGTAGCACAAGCTCTAATTGGTCTTAAAAATAAAAACCCAGAGGCAGATATTAGTGGGTGAAAGCTCAAAGATCAGAGAAGCAGAGCAGCCAGCCACTGGAGTTCTTACCTTTGCGAAATCCTCAGACTGCAAAGAGGCTGACCACCTGCCTCCTCCGGACTTACATTCCTCTCTCCGCCCAGCCATATCACTTCCTGTCTATATGTACAGACCTCCGGACCTCTGTGGTTAACTAGTGGCTAGCTCTGCCCTCTGATCTTTAGGCAAGCTTTATTTGTTAGTGTACAAACAAGATATCACCACACCAAGAGGATGTTCTAATGCCTTCCAGAGTTAGGTTTCTGAGAGGACCAACTATCTTGTTCTCATGCATGCTAGGCAAGCCCTGGACAGTGAGTGGCATCCTGGTTCTACATCCTGTCGCTGTAGCATCCATGCTCCTGCTTCTGGCACACAGTAAAGCAAAGTCTCTTTTTTCTCTCCTCTACCATCCTCCCTTTTATTCCCCTCCCCTCCCTTCTCCGTTCTTCTCCTCCTGCCACCACCACCCCTGTCCTGAGCAGCAAGAAGTAGGTGGGAGAGCAAATGACTTTGGGGACTGCTCCCAGGGCCCAAGACAGGAGGAGATGGCTCTGGGCATGCGGGTTGGGTGTTGGGGGGAAACCTCTCCTACTCCAGGGCACGCGAGGTTCTTAGGAGGAACAAAACCAAAAATCTTTCAGGAGACACTCCTTGACTTCTATCCTGGTTCCTTCCTAGCTATTTTGGTTCTAGTGATCTGTTGGGCTCCTGGTCTTGACCTTGAACCACCCTCCACCCCCACCCCTACCCCCACCCCCGCCACAGGAGGCCTGGGGCCCTGATGCTGCCAGTCTCCTTAGGAGACTATTTCTCCTAGTTGAAAAGGTTCTCCTTTGCAAACGGTGGGTTCTACAGTGAGTATTCCTCAGTGAATGTTCGAGGCACCGCCTTGGGTTCAGTGCCTGGTGCACCAGGTGTGGGGACCAAGAGCAACCAGTGGTATGTGTCATTCATTCCTAGAAGGCAGAGACTGTGACAGTCCCCTCCAGCTCGCTGTGGCTGGTGGGAATGGTCCCCACTCAGAAGCCACATGGTTTTTAAAGTCCAGCCCAAGATGCCCACCGGCGCTACGTGTTAACCCAGAACCGCCGGCTGGGGCTCCGCGTGGGCCTGGAGGAGGTGGTGCGGTGCCGGTGACCAGAATGAGCACGCTGCGTTCCAGCCACGCGCGCCCAACTGTTCCAAGGATTTGGCGCAGTGGAGAAGCCCGGTCTGCGGGAGTCGGCTGCTGGCGCTCGGGGCTTCTCGCGTGTTCGCGGGGTTCCTGCGGGTTCTCGGGAGCGGCCACCACGGCAGCACGGTCCCCTCTGACAACTGGCCGCGCGCGGTGCAAGTTGCACCCGGAGGAGGTCTGAGCTGTCCTAGTCCTCAGGACGCACTGGCCTAGTGGACCCCTGGGACGCCAGCCCAGCATTGGTCTCAATGCTACTATTTCAATAGAGAAGCTCACAATTTAGGGACCGGCCTGGGCCAGGCACGAGCGGCTCGTCCTAGTGTCCGTCCGGGTTCCAGCGCTGAAGAAATGGTAATTCGGCGCGCTGGAGCCCAGCCAGGAATCATTCCTGTCCAGGGGTCGTCTACAGCACAAGCGGGAGGTGTGTGTTGGGGGAGGGAGGGAGGGTTGGGGACAGTGTTAACTGAATACCTGAAGGTGACCAGACTGAAGACATCTTTGCAACAAAGAGCAAAGCAGGACATCGGAGAAGTAGAAAGAAGAACGTTTATCTTTTTGAGCTGCTTCTAAACACATACCTAAGGTGTGGTATTATGAGGACCGAGGGGCCAGGGGCCAGAGGCCAAGTGGAGGAGAGCTGTCTGCTTGAATGTTCAAAACTACCAAGGTCTCAGTTTAGCAAGGTCCCACAAAGCACTCAAGTCGGAAAGGGTGGATAAACTGTGGGAGTTCTGGGCTATGGAGTGTAAGCAATGAGATGTGGCCTTCGTTCCAAAGGGTGGGGAAGTACAGACGTTTCCTCTACTCAGAGTCGCTTTCCCCCAAAGCCTCTAATTACAGAATCCACTTAACCATTGACCCAGCCTCTAAAATCCCGCCTTTTCTGGCAGTCATAGGCCATGGGCATCCTCTTGTTTTCTTTGCACCCTGAAGCTGAATCACTGTTGCAAAGTCCTCTCGGAAATTGTTTTTCAAGGAAAGACCATGAAAACACTAGTATTTTTAAATATACCTGATAGCCGTTTATTTTCCAGAAGTAGACGCTCTTTGTTTCAAATTGCTCTCCACTCGCCCTCCTGTTTACCTAAGAAAACTATAAACTTCAGAAAAAATAGCGAATAAACTAGGCATAATGCAGCATGCTAGGAATTCTGGAGGCGGAAATAGGAAGATCGTTGGTTCTAGGTCATGAAGAGCTACCCCACAGAAATTGAGAGAGAGAGAGAGAGAGAGAGAGATAAAAATGGATGGATGAGTGGGGGTGAGAGAATGGAGGTTGGATTAATTCCTCTTAATTATTTTCCTTCTAGAAGTCTCGTATCTATTAAAGTATTTTATAAGATAAACTTTTCAACCACAAATATTTGGAATTTTTAAAACCCATACTCAAAATGTCATTCCTGGAATCTATAATGGATATAAAGCATAAAAACGAATTGTGAGATAAAAATGTAAATTCTAAAAGGCATTCCATTTATGAAAAGGAATAATGAGACATAAGAGGAAACAAGCGATGTAGCATCCTGATTTAGTATTTTATTCAATCTACATGACTAGGCTTAATTGTTCCGGAATTATTCTATTTATATTACATACGGATTTTTGGGATCGGAGCGTGTATACATTCTGCATTTGACTGGGGATCAACTGCAGTCCCTAAGGAATGGAGATGGGGGTGTTTTGTGTTGCCAGCTGTTCTGTTTTTTATTAACAACAAAACATCGCACTCACGTTCATAGTTCATAGGTCCCCGGGAAGTATGCAAATCGGAAACGCCGTGGAAGCCACAACTGAAGAGGACAAGACAAGGCGAGACCTGAAGCTCACAGATTGCCCTGCGTTTGGGTTATCAAGAGAGCAGAACACAGTAGTAAAAAGTTTGGCGGGACTTACTGCATGCTCCGCTGCTGGTTTTCCACGCACAAGTCTAGCAGGCAAGTGATGCAAACCTAGACAGCGAGTGGTTCCGCCCTACCTCTTGACTCCAGGTGTGCCAGGGTGAATCAGCCCGGAGACTGGGCTTGGACATTGTTTAGAACGCTGGCAAGGTCCCCTCTCTGCCCGAAAAGGCGGCCAGAGTTGTCAGTCTGCTGTCCTCGGCGGCAGGTTGATGCTTCAGCAGCGCAGCAACGGCCGACAGGTGCCGGCCCAGCCTCGCGCCTTTACCTGGAGCGCAGCTCCTGGAACAGTGCTCCTCCTGCTGAGGCTGAGGCTGCAACACTGTCCGGGCGGCGGCGGACACTTGCAGCAAAGGGGAAACAGCCTGGGGGTGCAGCAGGCACGCTGGGTGCTGCAGCAGGTGGCAGTAGCTCCACGGAACCGAGGGCGGACTCTGCACAGCCCCAGTTCCTCCTCCTCTGACCCCCTGCATGATGCTCTCAATGGTGAACGAGGTACACCCTCGACCCGGCCGAGATTTCGCGTCCTCGTTCCCGCCCCAAGGCTGGGAACTCAGTACAGGTGACAGTGCGGGGATGGCACGGGGTGCGGCCGGGTCCGCATCTTTGGCTTTTCTAGGCGCTTCGGCGTAGGCGGGGGTGGAGAGTAGCAGGTAGCGGAGAGGATGGGGGTGCAGCGGCATGCAGGGGCGACTCCCGGGCGGGGCGGTGGGACGGGTTCCGAGGCCGGGCTGCAGCGGCGTAGGGTAGCGGAGCAGGAGGCTTGGGTGGGAGACGTGCAGGGTTGCGGGCACAGCGTGTGGAGGGAAGGGACAGTGCGGGTGGCCTCCCGGGGGCGGGTGGTGGCGCTTGAAGCGCTTCCTGCGCCGGAGGAAGCTACCATTGTCGAACATGTCCTGGGAAGCGGGGTCCAGGCTCCAGTAGTTGCCCTTGCCCGGGTGGCCCGGCTCGCGGGGGATCTTGACGAAACAGTCGTTGAGCGACAGGTTGTGGCGGATGCTATTCTGCCAGGCGGGGAACTTGCGGCGGTAATAGGGAAAGCGACTGCTGATGAAGGCGCAGATGCCACTGAGTGTCAGGCGCTTGTGCGGGCTCTGCAGGATGGCCATGGTAATGAGCGCAATGTAGGAGTACGGGGGCTTGGCGGGCTGCGGACCGTCCGTGGCGGCGGTCGCGGCTGTCCGCGGCGCTCGGAACTTGCGGACGAGCCCGGAGGGGTTGCTCAGGTCGCCGCGGTCCCCCGTGCTCCTCCAGGGAAGCGAGCGGGCCCCGGACCCCGGCAACTGTGGCTCCAGGCACATCTGGCTTATCTCCCCCTTCTCTTCCTCGTCCTCCGTCTGGTCTCCATCTTCCTCCTCTGCCAGCACGTCGATCTCAACCTCATCCCGGTCGGAGCTTAGGGGACTGGGCTGCGGAGTGGAGCAAAGGCGCCCAGCTCTTGCCAAGTTCATGGAGGATGAGAGGGGGAGGAGGGATGGACGTGGTGGCAGCTCACCTGGTTTGGGGTGGGTGGGCTAACTAGGATGCGTCTGCCAAGAAGCTGGAGTCCTCCAGGGTTAGACTTTTTTGTTCCTTGTTTTTTCTTTCCAACACCGCGTGGCAAGGTGCACTTAGTGTTCTAAGTTTCTCTGAGACGTGTGCGGTGGACTCCCCGCTATATATCCCTCTTCCCGTTCCTCAGAGTGGGGCTGCTTCCTCCTGACGCGGTCCAATGATGAGGGTCCTCGGTTCACCCTTCATACCCACCCACTACCAAGGAAAGATGCTCTGGTCTTGGTTTAACCAGCCAGAGTGCTCTGGCGTTGTCTGGGCTGGGTCAATTTTGCTCTAAAACTGCACAAGTAAGCTTCAGGGAGGAAAACATGAAACCCAAAGACCTGTCACCACATAGACATTCAGACCTGCAGGCTTTGGCGCGGGAGAGGGTAAAGGAATGTATTTCAAACAGAATGGCTCACCGATTTAATGCTGTATGCTCCGTTCAAGAGAAATGGCCCCTGGCCTCCACGCAAATGTCTCCAAATGTTCTCCCTAACTCGATTTCCCTAAAGGTAAAAACACCCTAGCATTAAGCTGTGTAAGTTCAGAGTGGATTTTAAAAGGTCAAAACAAACAAAAAAGATAATATTTCCTTAGTTTCTTTACAGTCCCAATTCTCCAAGTTCTTTTAATATTTACCCAGAGAAACAAAGGTGCATACAAACAGATCAGCCTAGAAGAGACTTCAGAAGGCAACATACTTGCACCCCAGTGACAGCTGATAATTTTCTTTTTCCTGATAGTCTTGACCATCTACACTGGTTTCACCATTTAAATACTGTTTTACTAGTCCTATAAATAAAGGAATGCCCTCAGTGTAAGGGTGTGTTTGCCTGCCTGCCGGTCCTTACCCCTACCTACGACCCCCAACATCCATCCAGAAACAGGACCGGCTTTTATTGTAGTAATAGAGCTTGAAACTAAACTGGAAAAGGGCTGGACGTCAGCATCCCTGCTACTAGATACACCTGAGACCATCGACAAGCATCCACATTGCAGGCAGGATAGCAACCCCAGGACCTCTTCACCCCACCCCTACCCCCAGTCCCCCCCCTCGCTCCGCCGTGAAGGCTTTTGGAGTACCTAAACTTTTAGATTAGTTTCATGTAAATTAACCTAGCAACTAAAGTAGCAATGTGATAGAATGTTTTGTTAAGTAAATAGCGACTGAGGGCAAAACACACCACCATGGGGTATTCCTGAGGTGGAACCTAACAAAACACAGTATGAAAAGATGATTCTCTTTTTGGAGAACAGCTCCCTTTCAAGCCTTTGAGTTAAGCTTTATGCTCTGTGGAGATTTTACCCTCCGAGCTCTCTGTTTTGTGCTAGAACAAACAGATTTGAGCTTGACAGATTTGCTTTTGAATTCAAAACTGACCAACGACTATTTGTGTGATTCTAAACTGCAGGAGGGCAGGGCAGGTGTCTCATTCAATCTGACTCCCCCAGAAGCTGCCCTCACCCCTGCTGGTGGAATGCAGTGCCCTCTCCCTGATTACCTGAGAGAGAGTATTGTTGGTTTTCCTCAAATCAGCTTCTGTGGGAAACTGGGTGATTTACAAATGAAAGGGTGAAAATGCGAAAACAAAACAAGACCCCCACAATATGGGTGGATCTCAAAGGTGACCCACGAGCCAAAGCGGGGAGAGGGGGGGGAAATCTGTGCAACCAAACACAGCAGCTGGGTTATAATTCAATGTCTAAAATACGTTTGTGTGTCCATATTGCTAAAATAAATGATCAAATCAATAAATCTCTCTTGCAGAATTTCTAATGACTTGCGTAGCTTTTCAAGATGGAGCCTAATCCCCAACTACTTTTATGTGTGGACTGCCCATGTGATTCCCCCCCCCAAAAGAAAAGTACAATAGAAAGAGGGAAGGGGTAGCCTTTCTTGTGGAGAAATCTAATCAAACCTCAGTCAGGGGATGTCCAGTGGTCACATCTGTGAGAGATTGTCTCGACTGGTCACTCACTGTAGCAGGTAGGTGGGCCTGGACTGTGCAAGAAAGCAAACATAAGCAGAAGCTCGCCAGCATTGCTCCACTGTGGTTTCTGCTCCAAGCTCCTGTATCGACTTCCTGCCCTGACTTCACTCACTGATGGATTAGTACATGGAAGGTAAATTGAAATAAACAGCTTCCTCCCCCTAAATCACTTCTGGTCAACATCATGCAAGGGACTTATAAACAGAAGAACCTAAAGACCCAAGTATCTGTCAGCTGATCATACAGAGTATGATGTAACCACACAATGGAATATTGTTCAGCAATACGGAATGAAGTACTCCTACCTAGTCATCCAAGTGGGTCTCGAAGAAACATGATTAGTTAAAGGAGTTTGAATACACAACTCTTCAAAGATTAGTGTAACGGGTATGGGAAATACTTGCTAAGGGACATGGGCTTCTTTGGTCGTTGATTATAATGTTCTGCAATTAGATATCAGTAATAGGTAACTGTGGACTGTTTAGTAAAGGTGTCAATTGTATGGGACTCTGAACTGAAAGAGCTATAGCAATGAAAACTAAGATGAATATCCTGGGGAAAGTCCATTGTGGTTCCTCATTCTGAAGAACAAAACTAAAGACTCTCACTGTTCCACCTCATTGATGTTGCTTAAGCTTAGAGTCTTCCTTTCTTTTCCCTTTTCTTAGCTCCTGGACATCTGAAGTGATCCCAGAACAGTGGGCATCCAACAGTGCTTGGGGATCAACTCTCCTGGACATCTGAAGTGATCCCAGAACAGTGGGCATCCAACAGTGCTTGGGGATCAACTCTCCTGGACATCTGAAGCCACCCCAGAGCAGTGGGAATTTAACAGTGATCAACTCCTGGTGATCAACTCTTCAAAGATTAAACAGTTTTGCTGTCATTGTTTTTTCCAGAACAAATACTAGTTTAAAACAGTCTCATTCAGAGAAAACAACAGCATTCTAAGGCAGACTTCACTGTTTTCAACACCATGCCCACAGATATAAGGCATTTCTAAATATGGAAAAGTCCTTCCAAAGCAGTCTAAATATACAATTCTTCCACTTAGACTGGCAAGCTAAAGGTAGTAATTACCCAGTTCACAGATAGCCACCAAGCCCTACTATCATTGACTATTGGTCATCATTGCTTTAGAAACTTTTAGTTTGTTAATTACCTTCAATTCAGTCTAGGGATTAAAGACATAAAGTTTCTTATTTTTTGTTTAAATAAGTTTTGGTACTGGAGATTAAACTGTATATACTTTACTATGGAGCTATATCCTCAAACCCAAAAAGATTTTAAAACCTTTTTATATTTCATATATATTCTATATTATAACTACATACTTATGTTATAAATAGATAGTAATATGTTATATGCCATCATATTACATACTATTATATAACATTAAATATGTAAATATGCAATAAGTATTATATTTGTTTAATGTGTAAATATACATTAAATATCTAATAAAAATATTTATAAGTCCTTCATAAATAATAATTTATGTCTTAGGTAAACCATATCTAAACCTTGATCACCATTCTCAGAATACCCTGCAAGTCTCCTATAGCAAAGAGTGGCCAACATTATTTTTATATGTAGGCATTTCTTAGTTTATTAATAATGAATAAACACTACCGAAGGAGTTCCAGGACAGGCTCCACAGTTACAGAGAAACCCTGTCTCAACCCTCCCCCAAAGAATAAACAGTTTATTAAGAATAAAGCCCTCTTCTGCATAGACCCCTGAGCCTTGAGGGGAGGGGTGAGACAGACATCCCATTTATGGCTGAGCCTCCAAAGTCTCTTACTCTCTACGTGTTGGTCATCTAATTGTCTGTGTCAATTATCATCTGCGAGAAACTTCTCTGGTGAGGGCTGAGGGATATACTACCTATGCATGTAGCAGATGACACCAGGAGTTACTGTTAGGTTTCTTTAGGAGAATAGTGGTAGTAGCGTGTTTTCCCCTAGGGCACAGGGCCTCTCTAGTCTCGGGTTCTTGGTCTCGTTAACAGTGTCAGGTATGGGTTCCAACTCATGAAATGAATGGGCCTTGAATAAAAAAAAAAAAAACGGTCCTCCAATAAAGTTTGTGCCACTATTGGACCAGCCTTTCCTATAGGCAGGTTCTTATAGCAATCGGGGTTCATAGTTGGGTGAGACTGACAACTCCCCTTCTTCGCTGGTAGCATGCACAGAACCTTCCAGCACTGTAAGTGCTGGCCAGTAGGAGGGAAGCACCAGCTTGGTTTTTCTGTGTCCTGTGTCCTCAGCGGTAGGGCCTTACCATCAGGTTGTGCAGAGTAACCGAAAGCATTTCCAATAGTCTGTGATGTTTGGGGGATCTATAGGACCACTTCGGTGGACCACATTATTGCTGCATCACAAAAAAACAAACAAAAGCCCAACTCCTTAGAATAGCTAAAGCAAGGGTACAGAGTCTCCAGAAGATACAGTTAAAAATAAGACTCTGGGGCTGGAGAGATGGCTCAGAGGTTAAGAGCACTGACTGTTCTTCCAGAGGTCCTGAGTTCAATTCCCGGCAACCACATGGTGGCTCACAACCTCTGTAATGAGGTCTGGTGCCCTCTTCATGTCCAGCAAGCATACAAACAGACAGAACACTGTATACATAATAAATAAATAAATTAAAAAAATAAGACTCTGATCACTGGGAAATCCTTCATTCTGGGAAAAATTGAAAGAAAAAAAAAGCAGGATGATATACCAAGGAATAAAAATACTATGCAGTACAAAATAAAACGGTGATACGCTTGTCCCCTTAGATCAACAAATGCTGAAATATGGTTTAACTGTATTTAGGAAAATGAGGACTTTCAAACACTAGTGAATGAAAGGGAAAGATAAAGATTTGGTAGGGCAACTAATCAGTATTTATTGAAAATTTGAATGTGCAAATCCCAC